AACCAATAGCAACCACCAATGTGGAAAGGCCCCATCAGGATCTCTTCTCTTCATTCACCTATGAGGGAAAAATTTCAATCAAAGAGGGGTCTCCTTCTTTCCCTATTCGTATACTACGTGATACGGGCGCAGCACAATCTATCCTCCTGTTTAACGTCATTCCTGATATATCTACCGCATTTACTAATGAGAGTGTTCTAATTTCAGATCTCTCATCCCATTCTTCCTATCCCTTAGCTAAAGTGCACCTCCAATGTCCCTTGATTACTGGGGAAGTGCAAACAGCCATTAGGAAAGATCTAATGCCTGTGAGCGGCATTCATTTATTATTGGGTAATGACTTGGTAGGAGATCTAGTGGTTCCCAACATAAAGACAGTCAACTCTCCCTTACCTGTCAACTCCACCACTGACCTTGAAGAAACTATTCCTCACCTTTTCCCATCTTGTGCTGTCACCAGGTCACAGAGTGTGCGAAATGGGCCCTCTTCATCTAAAACCACCTCCAATATCTTCCTACCCACAGAAGATCTGTACAATAAGACCATTAGTAAGGATGAGCTCATTAAAGCCCAACAATCTGATCCATCTTTTGTTCAAACAGGTGATGAAAGACCAGTGTGGACCATTGTACATCTTCGGCTTACTCAATTCACACCCTGCTTGGAACGACTCCCAACAAAACTTTCAACCAATGCTAATAAAACTATCTCTCCTCAACTATATAGTCCATATCCCTAATCGCAGAAAAGATTCACAACTTGTTCACATTAATCTCATGAAACTTACCATTCCAGTAGCCGAGGAAGACATCCCAGAAGGCGTCTCACCCCATTGCATACGGTTTTGTCAGGGCCGGAGCCGAGCACAGATGACATGGACCTATTGGAGAATTTAGACTTCACTCTACCTAAAAGAGAACTCCGCCACAGTCACATACCAACAACTGATGAGTATTTTTCTGTTCTGAACGAATTTCACAAAAGATCTCGCTAAGTTATACCAACATTTCCTAAAGTCACGTCAGACCTCCTAGGGTTTTGCAATATACTTAAAACATGATAAGCTAATCTTAGATGATGTGCAACCCATTAGGCAATCAGCATATCGACTAAATCCACAAAAAGAGAGATTAGAAAAGGAGGTAGATTTTTGTTGTAAACATAACTTAGCTGAGCCTAGTACCTCCCCTGGGCTTCACCTTGCCTTCATTCCAAAACCCGATAGCACTTTTCGTTTCTGTACCGATTATCGTAAGTGAACCAGGTCACTGTCTCAGATTCACCCTTTGCCCTTGATTTATATATAATACAGCACAGTTTGTGCCAAATTTATCAGGCATGCGCAGATCACAGCGATATCGTCGGACTACGGATAGGGCAAAATAGCCCCGCATTATAACTCCATTTGGTCTTTTTTTTTCAATATTTGGTTATGGCGTTTGGCTTTTCAATACCCGCCAGCATTCCAGAGGGTCATCAATTACCTAATTCGACCTAGGTGGGACGTTTCTGTCACCTGGATGACCTTGGTGGTGTACGGACGGCTGGGACGGAAATCTGGTGCGTTTGAGATACTGTTAGCACGACTGTAAGAATTGGATTCACCATAAACCTGGCTAAATCTGCTTTTGGCCGGGCCTGACTTACTCTGGGACATATCGTTGGGCATGGTATGGTGAGACCTGCTGACGCAACAACGTTAGCCATCTTGTCCTTCCCACTCCAAGCGACGAGGAAGGAACTCCCGCGCTTTCCTGGGGATGTGCGGCTACTACCGTCGGTTCTGCAGTAACTACTCCAGCGTGGCCGGGACCCCTCACAGACCTTACCAGTTCTGCGGGTCCCTACATCTGAACCAGAGTAAAAACGCACCAGTTTCCACTGCCTCAAAGTTTCCTGTCTCCAAGCCTGTAGTCCACCCCTGACTACACTCTTGTCCTTCCATCTGCAAATCGATCGCTATGGTAAGCCGGAGTTGGGGCTAAAGCCCTTGCCAACCTGCACTCCAACCACTGATGTCCTTCACCCTGTGGCATACTACTCCGCCAAGTTGAAAACATCAGACCAACCACTGCCCATATAGAGAAGGAGGCCCTACCGTGTTGGCAATAAAGAAGTTTGAATGCTACTCTCCAGTATTGCCTATTAAACAATCTCTCTTAGTCTTCACCGACCATAACCCACTCACGCTCATTATCCAAACCAGCCAAGACCTCCAACGCTTGAATCCTCCGCTGGGCCTTCCTCACCCAGCCCTATAATCTACAAGTCCGGCACATAAAGGGTGGACAACATGATTGCGACTTTATCCCCAGCCGCCCAGGAAATGCAGTAGCTACTCTCCAGACGACCAGGGTGATCATCACTTTTCATACCAAGGCCACGGAGGTCTTTGGGTGTATTACGAACCACGCTACCAATTGTCATGATCTACCTACTCCAACACTACGAACCACGCCATCTATTGTCCTGACCACACCAGCACCACTGTTCTATCTAGGGGCGAAACCTGAGTATGACGAATGGAAGGCTTCAATTGGTGGTTTCCTCCATATCCTGGTTGTTGCGTCACCTCCTCAAAGTCTTCTTCGTCAGCTCCAGTTCGAGGAGAGTTCAGTTCACTCTGGGAAGTGACCACAGGATCACCTATCCTGGAAACCTACGGCACAGTGACTACCTACCGTCTTTTACAATACTCAGCCTTACTCGTCAGCCATCTCAGCTCCTCACTTAAGTATTTGTAATCTTATATTGCCCCCCCACGTCCACTTGCTTCATAATTGTTGTATGTTGTATAAATATGTATATACTGTTAATGTTTAGGTTAAGTATGGTTAAGGGTAAATTATAGAAAGCTGAATATTTTGTTAAGGAATTTATGGTACTTTATTATACACAACAAAAACTCCCATCCTTTGTCTACCCTTTTATAGTCCGATTGTCTTTGTTTTTTTTTTTGTTGCCTGTTGGGATCTGGGTAGACTTTTAACTATATTCTAAATCCCCAACTCGTAACACTGGTCAGAATCTACATAACTACCATCTTAAAGCCTTTGGGTTTAACTTGACCTCACTTGCAATCTGCCTCTGCTGGAACTCTTTTTCAGCCCTTCGACACTGACTTTGCTTGGTTCCTGGATCTGGCATACCTCCTCCTGTCCTGCTCATCATTTTCTCCTAACCCACGTCTGAGTTTTCTTTTTAAATTTGTCGACCACCGCATGGTTCATGTGTAGCGGCCTCCTTGTATTCCTGGAGGCACTGGGTTTGGTCTTGGGTATATATTTTTCGATCGAATGGTTAACTTTACCGTCTATGATATTCAGCGTATGGCATCTGTGTTCTTATTCCTCAGTAAGTCAGGCCAGTGTATACTCCTCAGCTCCTCCCTCACCCCGTCGTAATTTCCTTTGTAATATTTGAACCTTGGCCTGGTTTTGTCATGAACCAAGTAACAGTTAAATCTGAAGGACGTGGTGACCGGTGCCAACTTGTGCTAGATGTTCCAGACTTGCCACCAGTTATGATGAGATCCAGCGGTTTGGGTGTTTGCTCCCCTCTGTAGTGAGTCGGGTCTTTAACATGTTGGAATATAACATTGTCTCTTCAGAGTTTCTGCGAAAAGAGCGGCTGGATTATTTACTCGATTATTTAGTTCTTTTGGCATGGATTCATTTCTCCAGCCGATGTCGCCATCATTGAAGTCCCCCGTGACAAGGAGGTGGCTAGGGTTTAGCGCCGTTACATTGTCAAATAAAGGCTCTTAAGTTCCTCTGGTTTAATACGCTACAGTTTGGGGATTTGTAGATATATCTCACAATGAGTAACGGCCGGAGTTTTAAACACCCTCTTCCATTGAAGAGGGTCGTCGTGTTTCAACCTGAGTTAAAGAAAAAAGTCCTGAAGAACACCGCAGTGCAGTGCTTGACGGGGTGGTGTAGCTGTAAAATTAACTAATTCCAATAAAATTCTTTTGTAATATTGGAATTAGTTAATTTTACTGCCACACCACCCCGTCGAGGAATGTACTGCGGTGTCCTTCGGGACTCATTTTTTTTAGCTCGGGTTGAAACACGACGACCCCCTTCAACGAAAGAGGGTGTTTAAAACTCCGGGCGTAAGTCTCTCCCCTTCAATTTAATTTTACACCACTTTTATTCTTCGAAAACATCCTCTCCCCTCACCCCTCTTGCAAGTTTCTTGGGAAAGGTTCGTAAATGAGTCATATCCATCTATATTGAACTCCCATTCCTCCGGTTCGATTCTCCTGTTTTTGTACATTTCTACAGCACCCAATATATCGGGTTGATGTACCCTCAGTAGTGTTTGAAACTCCGCTCTCTTGTCAAGGGACGTGTCATTATTAGTGTACATGACTTTCAAGACGGAAATTGACCTGGGTAATTTCTCTGGTCTTGGTATTGACTCCGCCCCCCCCCCCCATTCTCTGCAGCTACCTCGTTTACTATATCTCTCATGTGGGGTGTGGTCAGAGTTGACATTGTTTGCATGGCGCTCGCCTCCTCCTGGGTGGGAGTTAGAGCGGATGGGGGATTGGGGGTGCCCCCTGGCTCTGAACTGGTGCACTTGGAGCAACTACCTTCCCTCTGTAATTAGCCCATACGTCCATCCCCGGTCTAAAACCGGGCGTTGAGTTCCTTAAATACAAGGAGTTTCCGTGATATATCTCTGCTTCTCCTCCTCGCCATCGTCATCTGAAACCAACTTAACTTCTCCAGCCTCCCACTCCATGTTAAGTGTTGGCCGCAGTCTCCCTCTTATTCAAGTCCCAGCTGACTTTCAAGCTCATTGTTTTATATTAAACCATGTCTCACTTGCATTTTGGAATCTTTTGAAAAGCTTCGATTACAAACCAAGGAACAGAAAATCAGAACACTAACACATAAATAGGCTTACTCTTGATGGTGTCAGAGCACACACTAAATGTCTATCTGGATTCACACACTACAGATGTAAAGGTTATTAACACACAAAACAATTTCTAGAAACATGAGAAGATACTTTATTTTGATATTACAATACATACGTTAAATTAGTTACTTCCAAAAGTAAGTACAATGCATGTCTTGCGTGCCATTGTAAATGTGATTTCCTGCGGAGGAAGGAAAGGGATACTGGTAATAATAGGGGATAAAGGAATGGTACTGTAATGTATACAAAAAGACAAAGGTCGTCCCTGGCCAAGAGACACAGGAATGCTCGTGCTAAGCTGAGACGAGGAAGGACAGACTTACTAGACTGATACGTGAAGGTACAGTAGTACTAGTACAGTAGTCGTACCAGGTAGAGAGACGAGGGGTAGTAACCGTGCTATGCTAGGAGACTAGGAAATAATGCTTGTCTGGCCGAGACGAAGGAAAAAATGTTCGCCCTAGGCTGATAGGTGCAATGGCCATATCAGTGTGAGAGATAAGGTAGGAAATGGTCCCACCAGGCTGAGGGATGTGGGCGTAGTTATCGTGCTGGGATGAGATACGTAGGTGTGAGTGTTAGGTGACGGGTGTATGTCATAACAGGTGGGAAATCTTTCTGTCAGACTGAGACACGAGATTCACGTTCCAGTGGTGGGTAATGAATAAGACTGGTATGTTAGACTGAGTGATGGGTAGTGAATAAGACTGGTATGTTAGACTGAGTGATGGGTAGTGAATAAGACTGGTATGTTAGACTGAGTGATGGGTAGTGAATAAGACTGGTATGTTAGACTGAGTGACAGGTATGAACATTGCCGTGGAAAGGGAGAGGAACGGCGTTAGGTCCATGTGTATCGTATGTGTCTACAGCATATTATGGACTGGTGTTTGTTCGCAGTGCCTGCCTCTGCCGCATGGTATCGTGGGCTGGATTAACTCCACAAAGTGTCTTTACCACATAGTACTGTACTGTGACTGGTGTTACGGCCGCAGTTTGTCTTTGCAACAGTTTTGTGGGCTGGTGTTAAGTTCAAGGGGTTACATTGTATTTATAACATCTGGTACCAAGTACTACTAATGGCGCCACAGTGTGGTTCAGTGTAAGGGCTAGTATTAGAGCCACAGTGTGCCTGTATTTTCCATGGTAACAAGGGCTTGAGTTGGGATCACTTTGTGAACGACTCCTAACAACCCAATGTCTCACGCAGATTCTAGGAAGTATCAAATTACCGTAAAGTAACGTTTATTTTGAAACAGGTACAGTATGTTTTCTTTGCTAGAACCCTCTAGTGCGTTGTACTGTACATAGTCACCACACGACCAAGTAATACAATGCACGTCTTCCACAGCCTCAACACTGGAAAAAGATCATCTTTGGTAATTCTAGCTGTTCCAGTGTTTATCATAAAACTATTTACATTATTCAATTTATACAAAACCGTTTAATCCTCCAGTGCATACATTATTCACTGAGAAAAATGTGGAAAAAGGAGAAGAGGTGCATAGTAACGGGGATATGTTTTTCTAATTAACATTATTCAGATAAACAACAGACCGGCCGTTTTATAGTACAGCATTCCGTCTTTTTTTTCATGACGAATGGAAAGAAGTGGGAGACGACTCACACACAACTGATAATGCACAATAAGATTATCGCGAGAAAAAAAAGCTGTTCCTCAAGTCAAGGACTCCGTCTCAAAAAAATTATCCTATTTTTTTTTACTATATTGAGAGTACATCCTTACATGAAAAATGGATAACTGAATGGTTATAGAAGCAGGGTGATAATTAATAATTCTTTGGCATTGAAAAAAATATTTACAAAATGCGAGCCAAAAATGTGAGTTTATTGTAACTAGCGACTTTAAGCCTGTGTTTGATGTCATATGAATAGTCTTTGAAGTAGCTATACAGAATAATTAATATTTTAGTCCACTTGTACCTTCATAAGTGAGTGGAAAGTAACTGAGCTTGGGTAAAATTTCCAAAGTTTAATTATAAGCACAATACAAGCAAAGTCGCCAGTACTATCACAACATATATTTGCAACATTTGGTCCCGAAGATGAAGTTTACAATTATGAACAAAACTTGCTTTTAAAAGTTCGAATTTACTCATCTATAAGTTGCATGTCAGTAAATACTGATATAGATTAAAATTTTGGTATCAATCTCCATAACATCATTTCTTAAATATTGTAAACAATCAAAGTTGGTATTAAAATTATCAAAAAGGCAGACCTCCAAGGGTAAAGAGCTGGTGTCTGGTCTTTAGAAACAAAGTGGGGAACTGTTATGGTTTTCATATAATGTATGGCTCGCTCTTATAATATATTAAGAGAAGAAAAATAGTTATGGGAGAATGTGGGGATCCACAGCTGACTCCTAGCTACTATTTCAACAAAGAGGCGGAGGGCTTCAAAGGTATACATACGTAACGTCCAACGCCAACTTGGAATGAGAAACCGTAGAGGGAGCTCACTTCTCTACTGTACACAGATATCATAAAGGCACAGTGTGAACGCACAAACACATCATCTCCGTGCATCACATAATATATACAAATATATTCACCACACTGGAAAACAACCTTGATGGATATATAGATAAACACTAAGGACGGATTGTATAGGCGGATTTTTTCATGTGATTCACCAAGCGATCACGTCCTCACACCAATCTTTTGTTTACTTATCCATCCATCCTCTGTACAGTAAAGTGTCACAAAAATATTCACACAATACCTCTTGACATAAAAATCAGCTATACTTAGGAAGAACATTAAAGTAACCTAAATAATATACCTCACTGTCACTAATTCACTTTGATAAATAGGACTGACTTAAATTTACTTTGGTTCGATGCTAACTGACTAGTCCCCAACTATGTGACGAGGAACTAAGGAGTAAGCCACATCACTGGTTTCTCTATTCACCTCGTACCTGGGCCACTCTTGGCCTTCTTGAGCAGCCTGCAAACACAAACAAGGAGAGGCGTTGCCATTTGTTGATTACCTTCACACCCACTGAGTGGTGTTCCACATGGGAGCCACAAGGCTCACTGAGTGGTGTTCCACATGGGAGCCACAAGGCTCACTGAGTGGTGTTCCACATGGGAGCCACTAGGCTCACAGACTGGTGTTCCACATGTGAACCACTAGGCTCACTGAGTGGTGTTCCACATGGGAGCCACTAGGCTCACAGACTGGTGTTCCACATGGGAGCCACTAGGCTCACAGACTGGTGTTCCACATGGGAACCACTAGGCTCACAGACTGGTGTTCCACATGGGAACCACTAGGCTCACTGAGTGGTGTTCCACATGGGAGCCACTAGGCTCACAGACTGGTGTTCCACATGGGAACCACTAGGCTCACTGAGTGGTGTTCCACATGGGAGCCACAAGGCTCACTGAGTGGTGTTCCACATGGGAACCACTAGGCTCACTGAGTGGTGTTCCACATGGAAGCCACTAGGCTCACTGAGTGGTGTTCCACATGGAAACCACTAGGCTGACTGAGTGGTGTTCCACATGGAAACCACTAGGCTCACTGAGTGGTGTTCCACAAGGAAGCCACTAGGCTCACTGAGTGGTGTTCCACATGGGAGCCACTAGGCTCACAGAGTGGTGTTCCACATGCAAGCCACAAGGCTCACAGAGTGGTGTTCCATATGGGAGCCACTGGGCTCACAGAGTGGTGTTCCACATGGAAGCCACTAGGCTCACTGAGTGGTGTTCCACATTGAAGCCTCTAGGCTCACTGAGTGGTGTTCCACATGGAAGCCACTAGGCTCACTGAGTGGTGTTCCACATGGGAACCACTAGGCTCACTGAGTGGTGTTCCACATGGAAACCACTAGGCTCACTGAGTGGTGTTCCACATGGGAGCCACTAGGCTCACAGAGTGGTGTTCCACATAGAAGCCACTAGGCTCACTGAGTGGTGTTCCACATGGAAACCACTAGGCTCACTTAGTGGTGTTCCACATGGGAGCCACTAGGCTCACTGAGTGGTGTTCCACATGGAAGCCACAAGGCTCACTGAGTGGTGTTCCACATGGAAACCACTAGGCTCACAGAGTGGTGTTCCACATGGGAGCCACTAGGCTCAGAGTGGTGTTCCACATGGGAGCCACTAGGCTTACAGACTGGTGTTCCACATGGAAGCCACTAGGTTGATTGAGTGATGTTCCACATGGAAGACACTAGGCTCACAGTGGTGTTCCACATGGAAGCCACTAGGCTCACTGAGTGGTGTTCACATGGAACCCATTAGGCTGAGTGGTGCTCCACATGAAAATCACTAGACCAACATATTGAGTGCTTCATATGGAAGCCTCAAGATAATTCTTTAATAAAGTCGAATTTGACCCTAAAATTTTCAGGTTAATACTGAAGAGTTTGTACATCAAGACTGACTATTGCCATGACTGTGAAACTGTCTGAATCAGTCATGACTCTACTACTCTCTGCTTGCATCATTGTTATACAACTTGGGAGTCTCTAAGTCATGGCTACGAGGCTGCCACCTAAAGCACCATGACCATGAGACTTGAAGTAGCTATGTCATCAACGTAATTACGCGACTTCTCCTAAATTAATGAAATACATATGTCATAACTACGTCTGCTTGTACGCAAACTGTCACTTTCTGCCCCTAGGTTAATACCATGTAACTGCCACTACCAGCGTCATGGACATGCAACTGCAAAATTACTACAGTATTCACGAAGAGCTTATCTGTTTCTACGTTACTGCCCTTCGAGTGCTTTGGCCTTTTTTATGTCAATGCAAGTCTTTTAAGTGACAAAATTGAACTAAATGATATATAATGTCAATTTCCTGCTTCAAAAGATGAATTTGCTGTCTCTTAGGAGATTCCTCATCAAGTCAATGGGTAAAAGTTGAAGTTTACAAAATAGAAATTCAAGAAACTGTAGATGTAGAATGTTTCCTTACGATCAAAGTAATTAAGTTGCAAGTGCCAGTGACGCTATTTCTGCATTAGCTACCTCACAGTATCCCTGGTGACGTAAATATCACATCTCAAAGTGGTCAGGTTGCTCTTACATGTGACTCGTCGAGAATCAGACAACAGGAATAAAATTAACGTTTGTTTACCATGAGATCCATAACGTTGACACTTGAGCAAAGTGATGTACAATAGGCTTGGGATCCATACTCCAACATTACAAAGTAGTTAACACAACGTTTAACACACTGATGCAAGTAGCAGTGCAGCACTATTACACACAGGATCAATAACATCCATTATTCTGGTTTTTGTGTTGATTTGCACACAACATATAGCTCTGTATACTCTATATCTATGTATACAAAGTGTGCTCTGTGCTGTGTTGTGAACGCTGGTCCAACACTAGATGAAAGAAGAGTTCCAACTTATAGAAATGTGTTGATGCTCACACTAGATGACTCATTCGACAGTTCTGAAGATTGATTATTGTTACTCATACTCTCATTGTTGTTGTTGATGTTGTTGTTATTCGTATTACAGTTGTTGTTATTATTATTCTCTGAGTCGGCGTGAAGGGGGAAGGGTTGTGGTGGGGGTGGAGGGATGTGCTCGCAGTTTGGGTGGACGGATTCACGGTGTCGTCGAAGATCCACTTTCCGCTGGAAGGCTTTTTCGCAGAGACCACAAGCAAAGGGTTTATATCCTGTATGCTTCCGCATGTGGGTGATGAGGTTTGAAGACTGGCTGAATGCTTTTCCGCACACCACACACTTGTGGGGCTTTTCTCCTGAAAGAGCACAACAAAATATTAAGACGGTTCATAATGTTTGATATATAAAGTCATCCATACAATTTCATGAAAATACACACTGGCAAAAGAAGCTCCACATATCAGATGTTCGGTGTACAGTACGCGTGGAGCACAACAGCTTTGAACAGCACAGGTGTGCATCCTGGTAGGTGTTGAACCTAAGACTCAGTACACGCACATAGCTTATTACAACGCTTCTTATAAATAAATTATGGAAGGGGAAGATTGATTGTAAATTTATATACAAGTGAAGAAATACTAGGCTATTTTTAATTTTACTAATTATCCCCAATGCTATAATTTGAATTTATGTCAAGTTGACGAATTGCAACTCAGCCTAAGGTTGCGAGCAAAGTTGCAAAAGAGAGCACAGACAATTTGTATAGACGGTGACCAACTATTTATCAGTAAACTATTGTCCGGATCGCACAGAAAACCATGATTTGCGGAAGTATTATTTTTTCACTGCTCTTATAAAGAATCTACAAGAGACTGAGCAGTGGTGGTCAGGTTAAAAATTTCAATGCCGGTGTTGTGTGCTGAGAGTGTACCGTGCTGAAAAATGTTCTGGGCATGCGCAGTTCGATCAAAACTTCAATGAGAGCTTGAGGCGTGCTGAGATTACCTCTCGGAATAAAAGTTAGGTTAGGTTAGCGTTTGATCGAACTGCGTCTGCTCAGAACATTTTCAGCACGATACACTCCCAACAGGTGACACCCCGGGAGAGGGATAAATTTGTGTCATTTAAGTACTGTTTGGTGGAGGAAAATTACATTAGTAGGTAAATATTGTTCAGGTGGAAGTGTTAGAGTAAGTCATATTATTGTATGGCTACTGTGCCGGGTGAAGGATGGAACGCTAATTGTACTGTACCTCCGCTATAGTTGAAGTAACATTAGGAAAAAACAACATATATGATTATTGGAACACAATAAGTGTTATAATTTACTTCGTCTTATTACCATTCACATTTCTTCATAATTGTCTTAAAAAAGGGATTTAACAGTAATCGTTCAGAAGGAAGAATTTGAATAAATAAAACCAAATTAGTAGTCCATTTTGCTGTCAGTTCGTGATACACGCATGTAATTATGGTCTTTGAAACTTGAACATGTATTGAATATACCAGAAACACTCATTAGAGCAAGGATATATATTTATCTACCCCAAGCCCCTCCCTCCTTCACGCACACACAACACGCATAAAAACACATAGATGACCTTAATAATTATGAACACAAGGTTGCGAGTGTTCAATTCTGCCTTCAGCACGGCACTATTTCTCGTTCAGAATCATGAAAGGACCAACCAAAAGCCACCCCCTCCCCAAGACGGGCTAGCACTATACTCACCCGAGAACAGGAGCATTAGAGGCTCGGCCACAATTAGATCCGTTGCATTATTGATGCTTTATCGAGTGTTCGTAATGACGATAATTGCGGCTTGGAAGGCGGAGGAGAAAGGGCGTGGATGATTTCAGATTTGAAGAATAATGACCAAACCGAAGGCTGCCACTGTTATTCAGGTGCTAAAACTTTATACAATCTGTACATCATTTAAGACATAATTTGATCGAGTGAATCCTCTCACTCCAGTAGTAAAGATTTTACATAACCACCATAACTGATTTTCACGACAACCGCACTGAAACCACCAAATGTCAACTAACTCTCTTACTACAACTGAATGTTTCATAGAATTAAAGAAATGCTTATACATAGTCATTTTATGATTGTCCCATAAATGACCACGAGAAATAGCTTTTGTCAACTGACCTCATATATGAACACTGCTGGCTCATGCAATTGAAAAAAAAAAGGTCAAAATTTCGAGTTACAGCCACCATAGACAACACACATTACCAATTACTATTCCATGCTCTCCCACAAAATAATTCTGCATATAATAGATGAAGTTATCCTTGTGTAGCAAATATACGGTAATACTCGACTACTCTCACACGTCCTTGTACGACTACCTACACGTCCTTGTACGACTACCTACACATCCATGTACGACTACCTACAGGTCTATGTACGACTACCTACACGTTCATGTACGACTACCTACACGTCCTTGTACGACTACCTACAGCTACACGTCCATGTACGACTACCTACACGGCCATGTACGACTACCTACACGTTCATGTACGACTACATACACGTCCTTGTACGACTACCTACAGCTACACGTCCATGTACGACTACCTACACGGCCATGTACGACTACCTACACGTCCATGTACGACTACCTACACGTCCAAGTACGATTACCTACAAGTCCATGTACGACTACCTACACCTACACGTCCATGTACGACTACATACACGTCCTTGTACGACTACCTACACCTACACGTCCATGTACAACTACATACACGTCCTTGTACGACTACCTACATGTCCATGTACCACTACATACACGTCCTTGTACGACTACCTACACGTCCAAGTACGATTACCTACAAGTCCATGTACGACTACCTACACCTACACGTCCATGTACGACTACATACACGTCCTTGTACGACTACCTACACCTACACGTCCATGTACAACTACATACACGTCCTTGTACGACTACCTACACACCTACACGTCCTTGTACGACTGTTTCATGAATTTTCGGGAATCCGATACAACTGATTCATAACCAAACCATGAAGTGTGTATGGTGCCCCCATTAATATTACCAGCTGTCTTTTGAACTGACATGAAGTATGTGTCTCACACGACCACTGAGAGTCTCACACTAATAGTAAAGAGGACAACAGTACTTAGGTCATTATTGATATAAAATATTCGGGTGACAAATAAGGTAATGATCGCAGTAATTCATTAGCCAAATGTGCCCCCAGGGCCTGTCACCCACACGCTCTCATATTTGACTACTTCATTAATCTCTCCTGAAGAGGTGAAGGGGCGTTTCCTCCCCCGTGCGGGCGGGTCAGCGCTGCACCTAAACGTTACGCAGGAAGAAAACCGCCGGTAAAGCAAAGGGTGAAACTTAAATAAAAAGTCAGCATTTTATATGCAGTAATGAACCAATCCCAAAAAGTTAGGTCGTATTAAGAAAGTTTCTTGTCGCAGATTACAATGTAATAACGAATATTTCGCCTCTGATAAGAATGGGATATGGGGTGCTGAGAGAAAGGCTTTATAGGAAACGACAGTGAAAAGTAAATACTGTATTACTGGAACGTGTATAAGAGTTAAGGCTCCAGTTCCTCGTCGTCACTGGCTTGACAGCGAGATTTTATCCTCTAAAAATTCATGTATATTTTAGTAGCGCGTATAAGGAGGGCGGAAGGCCACCAACAGTGTACCAGCATATCTGTGCCTCCCACCATTATAGTTATATACATTACCACACAGAACAATAACTCTACTTTATGCTCAGCCTGTGCACCCATGTAAATATGCACAATATTAAGCTGTAAAAATTTTGAACTTGTTATTCATGAGGCACTATACAGTTCCCACGGTTTGGCTTCCTCCTAACCCCTCCATCATTTCCCCTCTGACGCAGAACATCATTCACTGTATAACACCAGGAGCTGCCTATTGTGTGCATGACGGGGCGGGGGAGTCGACAGTCGCCTGGGGGTCTCAACTTCGCAGGGGAGGTAAGGGGTGTCCACAACTAGGTCCACATCTAGTAATACAGTGTGAAGTCATATCTACGCCAATACGGCTATGTGCGTCCACAAAACACTAAATTATGTATAACTGCATGATGAGAGGTGCTGCTTACACCAGAATCATTCATGTATATATTAATAAGACGAGCACTGCCAGTCAAAGTTGTTGAAGACGTCATTATGGTAAAGTTCTGTACAGTAATACTAATGAAGAGCCATCAGGACGCTAACAGGTTTAGTGATACTCATTCTATGGCGTAGTTTACGATAATATTGTTTATTGATGCAAAAGGAGGAGCAGTGGTAAAAGAACAGCAACAATTACAGTACAAGTATCACTTGTCAAAGTAGCAGCTCCGGTTGCAGCAAGATTAACAGAGGCAGCCACAGCAACACTACAGTACAGTATTGCAGCCATACTGGCAGCAAGATTAACAGAGGCAGCCACAGCAACACTACAGTACAGTATTGCAGCCATACTGGCAGCAAGATCAACAGAGGCAGCCACAGCAACACTACAGTACAGTATTGCAGCCATACTGGCAGCAAGATCAACAGAGGCAGCCACAGCAACACTACAGTACAGTATTGCAGCCATACTGGCAGCAAGATCAACAGAGGCAGCCACAGCAACACTACAGTACAGTATTGCAGCCATACTGGCAGCAAGATCAACAGAGGCAGCCACAGCAACACTACCAGTATTGCAGCATACACAAGATCAACAGAGGCAGCCACAGCAAGTACAGTACAATTGCAGCCATACTGGCAGCAAGATCAACAGAGGCAGCCACAGCAACACTACAGTACAGTATTGCAGCCATACTGGCAGCAAGATCAACAGAGGCAGCCACAGCAACACTACAGTACAGTATTGCAGCCATACTGGATCAACAGAGGCAGCCACAGCAACACTAGTACAGTATTGCAGCCATACTGGCGGCAAGATCAACAGAGGCAGCCACAGCAACACTACAGTACAGTATTGCAGCCATACTGGCGGCAAGATCAACAGAGGCAGCCACAGCAACACTACAGTACATTGCAGCCATACTGGCAGCAAGGATCAACAGAGGCAGCCACAGCAACACTACAGTATTGCAGCCATACTGGCGGCAAGATCAACAGAGGCAGCCACAGCAACACTACAGTACAGTATTGCAGCCATACTGGCAGCAAGATCAACAGAGGCAGCCACAGCAACACTACAGTACAGTATTGCAGCCATACTGGCAGCAAGATCAACAGAGGCAGCCACAGCAACACTACAGTACAGTATTGCAGCCATACTGGCAGCAAGATCAACAGCCGTAATAGCACTATTATAATTATA